GCTTAGAGGGTCAAAACAAACTAGGAACTCCACTGACAATCTTGGACCGCAACAACCGAAACAGCTATCGGGTGTTCAGCTAACTTTTATATTCATGAATAATACCCATCAAAACATTAATGAAAACAAAATACATGGTTCAGCGAAAAGTCTTCCTTCGTCGAATTCATTCACTTAGCTCTACAATCGCAATTATATATACTAATTTCTGTATGTGTGTGTACATTAGGTTTGTTCGATGAGAATAAATATAAGTTAGAGTTATTGTTGTCAACACATTTCCAAAATGTGATGAGTAATCCAACTGTAACTAGGCGGGGATAAAGATTAATAAGAGGGTGGTGGTGATGTGTTGTCAAAATCATATTTATTAACACATAAAAGAAGTGAAATAAGCGCAACACAATTACGCAATAAGATGAATAGTCTTAGGAGTAAGGTGTGATTAGGATGTACATAGAAACAAAGGAACATATGGAATTATGTAAGAGTTCTAAAAATTACAAATGTTATAAGGAGTCAGAAAAAGAAAACACACTAAGTTGCTGAGTCTCATTCACACGGTAAAGTCACGCAGGCATTTCTTTCTATCTGTTCTCCTCATGGAGACTTTAACACATTTTTCGGGGTATTCGTTCTGCTAGAATAAGTTTTCTATTCTCCTTATTTCATCGACTCGAGTGTCGGTTGTGCAGATTTTTCTCGTAAGGTACATCAAGGTACTGATAAGATTTCGTTTGCATGCAAGAGGAACAAACAACTATAAGTGGGTGTATTGGCCAACTTATAACTTCTTCCGGAAAATTTCCCCCTAGTTAGCAATAGATCGAAAAATGATATTGTTTTTCTCCTTTTCCTATGTGGACCCATTTTGTGAGTGAGCCATACTGAACACTTGGAGAAAGACTTCAGCATTCAAAACGTATGTTTTTAATTTTTCCAGTGTTTCTCTCTGTCAGCTAGAACTTGAGGTGTTGTCATTAGGTCAAACGTTATGTGATGTCGCAAAACGTCCTATAAGATTATAAACTAAGTCACAGTTTAAAAACCATTTTATTCAATCAAATGACTTAGCTTCATCATCTCGGTTGCGGTTAGCACTGAAAGCCTCTCTTTTTGAAAATTGTTACTAATATCAATCAAGAAGGTGTACTGAGAAAAGTATCCCCAGCAAGACTCATATTAAAGCCTTAAAGAGAAACTGATCAAATAAGAGCATTCTTAAAACGGAACCAGATAAAGGCTTCCGCATCGATTTTTATTATTATACCAGAAAAAAATTATCGTCGATATGCCTACAGCAGAATGAGAGTTCGTAGATTACGTTTTCGAGTGGACGATTGCTTAATTTGGCATAAATACATTAGCTAAGAGAGGACCCAGAGGGGAGCCAAATCGGTAATTCCTCCAATTGTTGGTAAACTTCGCTGTTAAGCGAAAAGTGAACATTCATCATACAAGTGAGTAGCAGTTCCGATAGTGTTTGAAGGGAGACAACTGCGTCCATATCATGTTCTACAAGAGATTCACAGATGAAATCGATAGTCTATAATAAAAGGACGTTAGTAAACAGGGAGGTACATCCTTGGAAATCATTGTTTCATCGTCAATCTACTAACCTGCGCCACCTCAACTCCCTACGCAGGTACGTCTTTGGTTGCTAAGCATAGCTGAGACAGTTGCCAAAATGATTTTTCAACCCAATCGCTGTGTTCAGGAAAAGTGTGTTCAATCTCTCTCCCTCCCTTGGTCTCCGTCTCCAACCTAAAATAGTTATCCCTCCCGGTGACACCGGTTGCTGTGATTGTTGTCTTATTACTTATACTGTATATTTTATTTCGAATGCTAACTATATTATCAACATCATGCTGTGCTGTAGTTGTAGGTTTTAATCTCAGTTTCACAATTTATTATCACTATTATTTCATCTAATCGCTATGTGACAATAGTTATTTCCCCCTCTACCCCTCCACTAGTATACACATTCTACCTACATGCTCATCACTGCCAAGAACATATAAACACTTGAGTGAATTTATCCTTACTATTATTATTATTATGATCACCTCGATTGTTGTCACATAATTAACATGGTATATTTCTTATTCACCACGTTAATTCAAATGCCTATGGCTTGCATATATACGAATTTATCACGCATAATATAAGCAAGAATACATGGTATCAAATACATGTTGTAGGAGCGGTTTACCGCATGGAGAGGGCTGTGAATTTTAATATGCATTATAATACCGATCAAAATGTTGATACATTAAAAGACAAAGAAAATTCTACCATGGGCAGTTTTTAGTCATCTACTCCCATTTTTTTCAAGACAACAGAATTAAAAAAAAGAAAAAAACGAATACAACCGTTCATATTTCTAAGAAAAAATGAGAAAGACTAGAGTTATATAGAGAGGAATTTGAAAGAAAAACCATAAAGTTCGTGAGTGTAGCAGATGAATGCGGTAGAACACTAAGCCTATGGGATTACAAAGAAGAATTCATGGAGTATAATAAGGAATAGAGTTGAATAAACAAAGAAATATGGAGTGTAATAGAAGTCGAAAAGCAGTAACACGTTTGAAAAGCTTGAATTAATACCTAACTGAATGCGTAAAAGAATTTTAATCTATTGTCTAACATGATTCTTATTATTATTATTAATCATGTTTCGTGTCAACTGATATTAACAACTGACCATTACTGATGTTTCTATGACATTTTAGAATGCCAGATAACTGTATGGGTGTGAAGAGAAGTTATGAAAGGAATATTGTTTGTTGACCTTCAAACATTTTAATTCCAGTATTCTGTTCACTTGACGTAATCCAAAGTATTCATCGATTAAACAATATTCAATATTTGTGGTTTCTAGACGTAGACTACATGTGTTTGTGTGTGCTTAATTCCGTAGGAGAGACATTGTCGACAACGTCTCACTACTCATGTATAATATATATTACATTCACCTATTCTCCACTCATCATCAGATTATATTTGCTAAAAAATTAATTGCTATTACTGGTGTATACACTAACACATTAATAATCATAACACTAGTTTGTCAAGAAAAACATCTGTGACCACATGGGAATTAAACATGAATGAAACTGTAAACTATGGAAACAGAACACAATACTTCATATATATATATATATATATATATATATATATATATATATATATATAAATTTTCTTATCCATCTCATCTAACTAAAATTACTAACTAGTTGTCGTTCTTAATCACAAAGAATAAACCAAAAAAACACAAACAGACTAGCAGTTTAGCACAAGTAACGCAAAACAACTCATTAAGAGTAATTTAATGTAAATAAGATTAGAAAAGAAAGAACGTGAGAAGGGTAACATGACAGCATGCTAAAAAGTTACTATTTTCTTAGTAGCGATGAAACCATCTCAGAGGCGTGGAGGATTAAACCAGCCGACAGGATTGGAACTTATGAAAGGTCTCTTGAATTGCTGGTAGGATACTTTAACCAAGGATCAGATATTTTTATTTTCTAGGTTATAAATCAAGCAAATTACTGTGTGTGAGGAGAGATCATAGTGTGCCTTGTTGTCCAGACTTAAGTGTGTGGTTTGGAACTAAAACCTGGATGTTCAAGCGAACAAGTCACATCTCCATTCGAGGAATAGGAGTCAAGGTATAATATAAGCAATTTCAACAACAATAATAATAAACAGGGAATGCTATTGTAACGTTGTATGCTTGTGACTCTATTAGATAACTACAGATTTACAGTATTTCAAAAAAACTCTGTTGTAGTTTTAAGCGTGGAAATATTCCATTTACAGGTTTCTATCATCACTTTTTTCTTCGTTCCCACCAAGTAACACCCCTGATAACTTCATATTTCAAGACGCATTGACTCAATATCAATAGGTATGTAGTTTGAATCAGTATTGACTTATTGATGACAAAACAGAGCAGGATTATATGTGCTATTAAGGATTATTCTCACCCATGTAACCATCAGTCCCCAGACAGGCGTTGTAAATCTCCCTACTTTACCGGTTTTTTTTTCAGTTCTCGTTGAAGTACGCAACTTTACATTCTACCATTAATTTTATTCAAAAATTCTTCAACTATCTGATTTTCTTTGATGTGGAGATACGACCAGTTGACTGAGAAGTATACAATTTCCAGTTGACAACGAATGCTGAGTCGAATCTTGCTTGACCTACTACTACTGGGTGAAGTCCTTATTAACGTGTGTGGCCTTGTACATGAAACTACTTTTCAATCACTTTTTCTATATTTCATTTAAGGCTTTATTACTTTTCGTGTTTGTCAAACCATGAAGCAGCAATGGAAGTTTAGAAAACCAAAAGAACTAACACTATTTTTATGATATTTTGATTATCATTTTGCCTATTTCTGTTGAAGAGTAAAATGAATCAAAGAAAAGTGAGTCTCAAAATACATGGAAAAACGATAATAATAATAATAACGATAAGTTTATGGATACATGTGTTATTATGCGTACAAGAGCAACTTCATCACCATCATCATCACTATCAGCAGCAGCAGGCAACGAATAGTGATTAAGACGAAATTGGAAGAAAATTGTGATGAGAATTCCACTTGTTACTACTACTACTCCCCTGTGAATCAGTTTATCATGACACAGCACACGCACACACACACACATACGAAGAAGGAGGGAGGGAGACAGAGATTACAAAGGAATAGAAACTCGGTTGATTTGTGCATTTTATGTGTGTAGGTATTTATGCATGTATATATGATTTGTATAAATGTTATTTGCTTTCTGCATTTGTATTAACCAACGTTAATTCTCATAAGCAATATTTTTTAAGCGAAAACAATTATTTATTTAAAAAAAACAATTATGCAAATTAAGAAATTAGATACACAAAATACAATCTCTTCTTTTGGGTGGTTTTGGTTATTATGAGTGAATACAATATATACCTATACATATATATTTATATGTCTTTGTCTAAAACTCACCTCAGTATGAAAAAAGCAAGACATAATAACACCCATCTCGCGGTCACACAACAACACAAACCAATTCGTTGAGAATTCAAGGTGAATAAAGTCAGCAAATTGTAATCCAAGTTTCTAAAATACTTTGTAAGAAGGTATTGTGTTCTCAGTTGGCTAACAAAGACGTACACACACACACCGTCTAACGATAGATATAAGATGCCCATTTATAATATCCTTCATCTTTCTGACCAATAGATCAGTTAAGAACGGAAATATTCAAATTCTCCTTCTTTTTATTGACTTCTTCACCTGTCACCTCTTTTCTCATTTCACCTTGTAGTTATTCATTCTCATATTTGTGATTTCCCACTGACATATATAAATATGTATTTGGACTAAATTGACCAAAGCCTTTTCGTATGTCAGCTCCTTCAATAGCTGCTTCGATATTACTAAGATTGATAACTCGAAGGGACTTGTCTGGTGGTGGCTAGCGGTGTAATCGTCGGCTGGATGTACCAGCATTCCGTGGAGTGATGGTGTACAGTTAAGACACTTGGATGTCTTCCCATCGTTACTCAAGCTTTCATTGACACAGTAAACCAAATGGATAGGAAAGTTTTGTCATCTTTTCACGACACACTCCATTACAATTAATTGGCTTCACAACTGAACTGTCCAGCTCAAAGAACGCAAGAACGCCAATTACGTCCTCTCCATCATTTCAAGAGATAACAACAGCTTTGGTACCAGTAAAAAATATTAAAAACCGGAGGTATTGACTTTGGACTAATTTCTTAATTTCCACCAAATATTACAAAACACAGTTTCTTAAATGTTCCCAATTAAAGGTAATCATCAAGAAGATCACAGAAGCTCGAATGGTACAACATCGTTAACAAAGGTTGGATGAAAAGTGAGTCTATCGACTTAGCCAGAGATCCAAAACACAGTAGTAAGCAGGGAAACAGTTTACGAAACATATTTACACACATCCATGTACCATCAATAGTCGATTAACTTCAACTTACAACTGGTTTACTATCTGCCTCCAAGAATGAGTGAAAGTTACACTAACAACGTCTTTATCGACAGCATATTCATGTATTTTATAGTTCCAAGGAGACATATTTACAATCATTAAGTATCGATTATGATACTCCAAAAATCAACACCTTCCAAATGTTATTCCTCGATAAGGTTCGTTAGAAATATATCAATCAGTTAAACTAGAGGTGTCGATTGCTTTCATTAGGATACGTCATTTCCTTCAACAGATGCCTCCACATAACCAAGAGTAATAACTCCAAGTGATCCGTTTAGTGGTGGCTAGCAGTGGAATTCAGGACTCACGTTGCGGCCTATTTGGGAATCGCTATTTGAATGTGCCTACTTTAAAGTGAGTAGTTGTGTAGTTAATTAATTTAGAAGTTTGCTTTTCACTTCTAAAACTTTCATTTGACAGGATAAATTAGTTGGATTGAAGAATTCTGTTTTCTTTTCACATCACATCCAACTTGTCATTGAGATCACAATGAAGTTAGCTTCATGATACTGAGAAAAATAAACTCCTTCCAAAGAATATTACTGGAAACGGCTCGTGGGCAATAGATTAATCAATTAAATTAGAAGTGTTAACTGCTTTCTTTGTGAACTTGCAGGTAATCACATTAAGGTAGATTTCACCATATAACACACCGAGATAGACAGACATATAGACAGAATTGCATCAAGTGCTCACCTTCGACGAAGACATTGTCAGAACACAACCATTTGCACTGTTGGTATTATTAGAATTGACTGTTTCCACTCGACGACGTTTAGATGATGCTAATTTAATCAAGAGAAAATTAAAAGAATTATAATGAATCATCAAAAAAAACTGCGATATATATATATACTCTCATAACATATAGACATTTATCACTTTTGTGTATAAAGTGAAGATAACAGCAAGAATAAACCATGCACTACAGCAGACGGTGGAGGATGGATGAGATGGTCAAACGGTGGGCCGACAAAAATAACTTAGAAGATCTGGGTTTCGCGGATGACTTCGCACAAACTCGAAGATTTACAAGTTTTACAGAAGAGGCGGAAAAGCACGGACTTCAGATAGCTACTGAAAAGACAAGTGATGAAGATACCTCACCGATCCCAAGTCAACGAGATATATCTAAAGAATGTGGCATCGTTCACGAACCTCGCCAATACCATATAAACTACAGACAGAAAAGATGAGGATGTCAAAGCCAGACAGAAATCCACTACTTAGAAATCAGTGTGGAGATATATGACGATCAGCGAAAGGAATAACGTCCGAACTTTCAACGCGAATGTCAAGTACCCGCTTCTATGTGGTTCACAAACTTCGTGAACGCAACACCAAAAGGATTTCCAACAAGGTTCTGTAGGCTACGATCAACACTTGTCTCCCCTCGATACTGAAGGTCAGATAACCGGTCAGAAAAGGTTAGCAGGGAAAAAGGAACTGTGGAAGCGAACCAACCGATAATTATTTACCTGACAAATATCCAGAAGGAAACATAATTGGCTTGGACAGACTATCAAATGACATCATATGTTAGGATATCAAGTGGAACATGAGTGGTAAGAGACTAACTATAGTTAGATCGCCAAATGAGAATATGTGAGGGAGAAATGAAGGTCGGGCGGTCGAAAGTGAAGACAGAGGACCGACTGAAATAAAGGCGTACCGCCAAAGATAAATGTTTTACTCAAAACACAAGGGACAAATAATAATAATAAATGTATAAGTGTGTTGGAGGGGAATGCAAATTTCAGCTCAGTATAGATTTCGTAGATCAAGGGAGGCGTAAAACGGTATCGTGACAATGAACGCCAACAAGACAGAAACCTAGATAACCTCCAACCCTATATCACATCACGACACTATTATTATTGATCTGTTCTTCTGTAGAAAATAAATCTGCATTATTTTCATTATCATTAAGAGGCATGAAGAAATCTGACGAGTGTTGAAACTGGTCATTTTCCTTAATCGACTCTCAAAAGGATAAACAATTACACAAAATTAACTTGCGAAGTATTATAGAGTTCTTAGATAAACATTTTTATGATACTCAATGTAGCAGAAGTAATAACAACAACAAAAAGAGCATAAAAAGTCGGGGGGGGGGAAAATCAAAAATTGAAATGACTACTTTTCAAAACAAAACGTTTTCAGTCATTCGAGATTCATCGGTTTTTAAATTTATTTACTTATTTATTTTTATGTTGAACAAAGTTTTCAAACTACATAACAGATGTAAAGAACTTGACAAACTAAATTAATTATTGTGCTATGTGTGCATGTGTGTTCCGAATAGGATTTGAAAGGAGAAACTAATTGACTGAGCCAAAATGCAGTACAGCATCGACGACAACATTTTTATTAAGTTAAAGTAATTATATTCAATTTTATTAATTGCACTCAATTATGACGATAATGATGGCAGTGTTCTTTCAACTGAGTTACTCGAAACTACTTTTATCATATTCAGTTGCTCAGATTGAAGTAGGTGGAGAGGGTTTCAAAACGAAGGATTTATTATCTACAAAGTTGAATGACATAATATCGGAAGGTCGTTCAGTCTAGATCATTTCAATCTAGCTAGTAAAGGCTACTGGTTGCTGTCAATGGTATTCAACTGCTTATATTAGTCGATCTGTAGTGTGTAAGAATCACGCCTATATAACCCAAATAATACTACTACAAATCTTCACAAAACCAAGTACGCCTAGTTAGCCTGGTATACAAAGAATACAAAAAGAGGGGGGGGGGTGATAATTTGTGGTTGAACTAAATTTAGCACTGGATGATAATTAACAAGATAGAAATAAGTGTGATAACAATGCGGTTTATAGAAGTGTTGTCTTCTATTAACAAAAGCTCAAATCTCTGACAGTTTTATAAGACAATGAATGATATTTGACATGTGGCGAAGTGGATCTTATCTAATCATATGGGTTCGACAATATGACCTTGAAATACTTGCTGGTTGGGGTCTTTCGGACGGTAAAGAAAAGTGGCTGGAGACAATTGGTGATATGGCTCAAAATTGTTCTCAATGGCGCAGATGCATCCACTCCTTGTGACTTATAATATCCAATAAAACTATATGACTCTTCCATATTACTATTCGACTCGAAATGCTGCACATCGGTACAAAGTTATATGTTGAAACCAGTCAGTCAGTCAATGATGAATACAAATGTTATATTAGAAAAGCGGGAAAAAATTCAATTCAACGTGGTTTTCTTATTTTTTGAGGCTTTTAACTTACAATGAGACTGAGAATTTGATACAGCAGGGGCATCTTCATCTGTAACTGACACGGTCGCTTCTAGGCGTCTATATTTATTTTTTTGAAAAAAAGCAAAGTAAATAGGGAAAAAGTAAGAGAAAACACAGTAGGGTTTTTGAAGAAATCTTTAGGAAACACTGAATAATTTCTGAAGTGTCGACTTGTTATGATTAGATTGATTTCAAGCGAGATTACAAACTAGCATTAGGTTACGGAACCACTAGGTATTGAACAGTTGACTCCTAGTTTGTGACTCTTCAGCAGTATGCACCAATGATCCCACCGAAAATCCAACCCAGGACTCTAAAGTCACGAGATGAGACCGCTGAGGATATAAATCATGAGTTTGACGCTTATTATTTAACAATGTTACTAAATACTGAGGCAGACAAGACAATTCCATCAAACAAACACATTTATTATTTAAAATGCCAACCTCTTCGCGACGTGACTATTCTCTTCATTGTCTTAAGCATTCACCTTTGAGATCGTGGAAACCGAACTCGAATAGCACTTAGTCTATTGAAGTCTGGTTAACTGGTTATCCGCATACAAAAACGTGGTTCATAGCTAGGTGATTGAAAAGTCTGTCCCAAGTAAATAAGTTCTATTACTTATTGAAATTTGAATAGCTGGATAGTTTTACTGGTAGTCGAACACGAGATATGGATAATAACGCGACTTACTAGACACTAAGCTAGAGTGCAACTAATTCCTTTATTTACTGATTTATATCATATTAAGCTAAAGAAGTCATCCAATTATTAAAAATGTATCACTGTATGCTACATCAAATGAACTAATTTTATATGTGAAATATACTATTTAACTCATCAGTTATTTGGAACATACATTACGTATTAAACATGAGAATTTAAAGTTATATATCTTGTGATGAACATGATATGAATAATTTCAAATAACTTCAAAAGTCAAAGAGAGTTATTTGATTACTTTGAATAGCTATCAGTGATTTTTCATTTTTATAAATGAAGAATAATCAAGTACGCTAACCACTTCAATTATATTTAGGAAGTTATATCACCTCCAAATGGTCTGGTTTTCAGAGACAATACTCATAAAGAATGTATTTATAACCGAACACCTCTAGCTGTGGTGTCTACATTCAGTGAGATCACTTTCTGGTTTCTTTTCGCATGACAACCTGAGCCTCCGTCTAAAAGCGCGAGACAGAAAGAGAGAGTAAATCTCGCTTAGTTCAGTGACTAGTTGCAAGCGGGGAAAAAAAGGAAGGTTTGGATGGAGCTAGCAAACCCTAATTGCTAGGAAAACTTTGAAATAAAGAAAATGAATCCGTTAATTACTTGTACATTGTAACATATTGTGTGAATATTATCAAATACTTACTGACTAGACCGTAATTTGCTCTGAGTAGTGGTTTGAGATGTAGCTGAACTAGCAACACTGTTGTTAGCCACTGCTCCCGTAGACGATGAACCAGATGTAGATGTATTCACAGTTGAAGCAGATTTTGAAGTTTCCACAGAAACAGCAGGAGGATTCGCTGTTTGACTACGTAAGCGTGTTTCTGAAGGAAGTTAAGCGAGCAAATGAGAAATCATTTTTCAAAGCATAAAACAATACACAAAGTAAACTGAAAAACGATATTTGTGACTCAGTTACCGACTTATAAGCCACATATATTACATGAAGACTAATGATACTGTGGATTTGCTTGATTCATCTCTGCTGTATCCAGCAAATTAGCTACAAATCAGTGACCAGGAACAGATTTTCCATGTACAGCAGTCTATAAGCCATATTCATTACGGGAAATATGCCGATACTACCCAGTAGTTTAGGTGGGGGGGGGGAAGGGCATTAGAACCCAAGGATCCATTTTTACGATGAATATCATAAAATAACAACATATTGAAATGAAAGAAACCACAGAAGTGAGAGGACGAATGTGAAGGCGTGGCACTTACAACCGGACTACTGGTGAATATACTAGCCTACCTAAGAGAATTGGAAAACCCTGATTCTTAATCTATGTGTTCGAGAGTCCGAAAGAATCGAATGGTACAGGAAGCCGTTTCAGTCACCGGTAACCATACGAACGTAGCGCCTAACACTGCCTTATGGATCAGACTTCAAGTAATAAGCTACGGAGGTGGCTCTATCAGTCAACCACCTGCTTTTATTTGGACATCTAAGTAGCATCCAAGGCCTCGTACAAAGTGAGATTTTGTGTGACGCATCTCTTGTAGTATCTAATTTCCGGTGGGTTGGTGGTGGTCTCAATGAGACTGGCACCCTACATCCATCATTTCAAATACAAAAGAATTATTTCAAATTAAACTAGTGCTTACGGACTCCTCTAATTTCTTTCTAATTAATTTTAGTAATATCGACTTCCTTCCATGATATATAATCTTATGCACTTAAGATTTAGCATGAGAACCAAAAGGACTCAATATACCCTTAGTCGACTGGAATGTAGAACTAAATATTTGCATACATACCTTTAAATGTATAATAATGCATATAAATACAGACTAAAAAGCAACCAACTCACCATTTCCACTTGACGGTGGTGCTACTGAACTATTTGTTGTCGTACTCCGACGTACAGGAACAGAAACATGTGGCGGTTCAAATGTTGAAGAACCAATTGAAGTATTAACAGTAGTACTAGTAGTATTAGCGTTACCAGCCGGCGCAGAAGACTGGATATTGCTACTACTGCTACTACTACCCGTAGTATTAGCATTAGCAGAATTAGGATTAAAAGAATTTGTTTGTTGATTAACTGTTGACTGCCCACGTAGATTATGAGCAGTAGTTGGCGTAGCAGTAGCGGTAACACCACTAGTGTCTGTATGCGAAACAGTTCGACTAGAGAATTGGGATGTATTCATATTACTACCACTGTTAGGGTTTTGATGATTAACCGAATAGCTGGTATTAATCTCAGGACGTGTTGTCTTCTCTTTTAAATGAAACTCTTCTTCACTAACCCACTTAGCCTTACGTGGATGCATTAAACCAGCATAACTGAATGCCAAAGCCTAGAGAATAAAACAAAGAGAAATATTTAATATTTATGTGATTATTCAAATTTCACTTTATACAACAAGATGTGAAATCTTCTGAATCATAAGGATTGTATATAAATGGGTAAGTGGTTGAATGCTTCACCTACCGGTTGAGAGTACAATGATTCATGCATGGTGATGGAGTAGCAGAAATACAAATCTTGATAAATTGTATTACCGCTTACAAAAACAATCCTATATGAAATTTGAGAGTTCCCAGGGCTTTGAATGAACATCAACACTGATAATCACTAGAAATATGTAACTTAACATGAAAAACTTCACACTATATGGTCCACCTTCCCGAAAAACAAAGTTATAGTCACACGTGGCTCAATCAACCTTCAATATGAATGTATGCTAAGAGTACTGCATGGAGGACCAGTACTGGTTTATGCTAACTGGCTAAAGAAAACACTTTACACATGAGGGTGGTTTAAGCTACCAGGCCTACGTCTACAACGGCATACAGTTTGAGTTCGGCATTTACGAAGTGGCACACTATTATTTCCACTACAGTGTAACCACATCGAATATCATGAGCATAAAGCAAAGCCGAATAAATTAAACGCAAATTTATTGACAATCTAAAATGTAAGTACTGACTGAATTCCAATCATTAATTAAATGGTGTCATAACCACACTGGGTGATATGCCGTCATGCTGTTGACAACAAACTGAAAGAAGTATATTATATAACATCCTGTGCAATAATCTAGAATGGCATCAGTTGGAATGGAATAAGTTGCAAACATAACTGTGCAGCAGCATAGAAAGCATGCAGTGAAGACAAAAGAAGCAAAATATGAATAATTTATGCAAATTAAGATTTCAACTTAACATTTCTATATTATACCATTACAATTCCGCTATTACAATGACACATACATTAAACTGATGTCAGGCAATCGGAGATAGTCAACTGAAAGTCAATAGGACAGGAGAGGATACAGGTCTAAAGTTATGAGAAATTACTACTGTTGGCCTACAGACTTGCTTTAAGTGAGTCTGTACCTAACAGAGACACATTTCTTCAGAGGTATCAAAAACTCACCTATTCAGTTGAGTTATTCTTATTTATATCCTCATAAATTTCGGTAGTCGAAATAAGGTCATTGAAATTCACTCATTTAGGGCACGAAAACTACTTCATGTGACGAATACGTGTGTAATAATAAGAAAATACAGACAATAATAACAACAAAAGTACAATAGATAAACTCACAAAGTCTTTAAGAATAAAACAGAATAAGCAAACAAGTAAGCGTTTTTACTACATATTATTACTAATACCAAAGAACAAACCTTTAAGTCAGGACGACGATCTTTTTCTTCCTCTTTTAGTTTGATCACACGCCTTTCTACAGCACTGCCAAATTGTATAATTTTTGGATATTGTGGTAGGATACGCGTCAGTACAATCAATGCATTACGTATTTGTACATAATTCCCTGATTCAAGACATGCAACAATTGCTTTTGTTATCCGATAATGCCATTTATGCACTACATGCCGATAATTTTCATACTGTAATTGATCCGGTTTTGTGTTAGCGTCTAAACCTTGGTAAGTCTTTGTCCCATTTTAATTGTGAATATAAATTTTAATCAGACAAAAAAAATCAGAGAAAGGAAAAATTTTAATGGGGTTCAAGTTACCTTTATACAATGGAAAACAAACACTGATTAAAAAGAAAATTAGATAGTAGATCAACTTTTACACAAAATTCAACAGCTCAAAAAGCCAAGATAAAAGCGGATCGACATCTGACAGTCAAGAGAAATGACTCACCGGTGCTCATCACTATTGTTCATTCCTTGAGTCTCGAGCTGAACATAGGCTACTACAACTGAACATCTCCATTCTACTCAGTTGTCTGACAACCCTTCCAGCTGATTCGACGGCTGCTCATAAGCTTACACTTACTCCTCACATGATCTACATATCAACTTCAGACGCCCATCTCCTTTGTTTTTCATCCCAGTTCCAATGGAGAGATTAGAGTGTGATGTTTCATCAGTTTGTCTAGCAAATACTACTGAATGACGTGAGGAGTTTTCAGCTAGTCATGTCAATCAATGAATTGTATGCACAAAAACTTCACCATTTTCAGAATGTTACGGATGTGCGTAGTATAGCCAGAATTCTATGTTGTGATTTACACTAACTTTAGGATATCCTCCATACAATTAGGCTTTCCAGTGGTTCTCTAACTGATGTCAGCTCATGATGAAATCCTCCATACAATCAAACAAAATCCCTACCAAACCAATACTTGAAGATATCAAATGCCCAGAACTTATTAAAATTTACATCCACAGACTCATCTACTGATTGACTACTGACATATTGACTTGGGTAGTCAAACAGTCTAAAACAGTAACAGAAGAACTTAACTAATTAGTGAGAAAACGTTTTACAGGTGTATGTGTGTGTGTAACTTATTACGCGCGAGAATGTGATTGTCTGTAGTCCCTACTATTGGAAATTCAATCAATCAATCTCGAGTTCCAATCTGCCTCCGCCTACTTCCGTCGTTTGACCACCTACCTGGGTAGCAGTATTAACTAATACATATTATACAGTATGCATAGCTCCTAAGCCTAGTTTAATTATAACTGTGATCGATTAAGAATCAAATCTTGAGTGGATGTATGCCTTACTTCAAAAAATTCAATGTTAAACAATTCCTAAAAACAATAAAGGAGATGCAAATAGTTAAAATCACTAAAACGAAAGAAAAGACTACTGTTAAACATCTGGGGAAAAATCAGAGTGGAATATTACTAATAACCGCATTATAGATGATTATGTATTCTCAACTAACTGTACTAAACACAACTAGTCAAATAGACAAGATCGATGTATACATAAAGAGACAACAGAAACCTTCACATGCTACTAGAATTCAAAAATCTGTGTGCACGTATGTGTGCAGGACGGGATCGGCTACTATGAGGCGCATAATGCTTTACGAACAAAGTGGAACTTCTAACTATTCTTGTCATCGACCTCCCAATATGCTCCAATTCAATGTGAATACAAACGTTTCTATTGTGAAACTTGCTTCATCACTGATTCATTCACAAGCGCACACACAAACTGCATAAATACACAACAAAAGAAAGAAACTTATTCTGAGTAAAAGGTAAAATCAAATAAAGATTCCAAACGTTTTATAGCCACGACTCAGTGTAGGAGAATGAAGAAGGGGAGAAGGAGGAGGAGGACACGAACTCAAATAATGCTTATCATGTAATTTAAGAAGAAAAGACACACCACATACAGAGACAGAGAAATCGTGTGAGAATGTAATATAGAGTGGGATTAAAAGAGAATGATAAAAGTAATATTGACATTTACAGGATTAAAGTTACAACTGCAACCAGATGACAATAATATTCATTTACGGGAGGGGATTTGACTTAATTTTAAGTTACATTTCATCAAGAACCTATATCAATCAGACAATCATTGAAAACTAAGGAAAACCATCTGTTAAGCACTTCCTGATCTCCAATGTTTCTTCAGTTTATGCCGGTTAGTCATGAAATCTAACTTGAAATCATTTAAGATTCTCCAATTATAGATTTTATCAAGAATAATCATTAACGAATAGATATCAGATAGCATAAATGACTAGACTATTGTCTCCCCTTAGTTAGAAACTTCTAGTAGCATGCAAACATTCGAATAAAAGAGAAACCAACGTCTAAAGACAAACGACATCAAAAGGAAGGCAAACAACTATTTAGCTACCCAAGGGAAGCTCATCTATCCATGATCTCCAGCATCCACCCTAACGTCAACCACCACAATGAAAGTTACCCACTAAAAGAGAAAAAAGGCCTAGTTATTTATAGTACAGAGTATGTATTCCGTCCTACTGGAGACACATCATCTGGATGCGCCTGAGACCGAACATTTCGGTCTAGTATGTGTCAACCAAGAAGAGATATAAAGTAACTAACAAGAATGATAACTGATGAACTCTGGGTTCGAGCCTGAGTGAGAGCACCATCACTTAGTGGGAGGCAGGCATATAACATTGACGACTCTCAAGTAGGAATAAACGCGCGTAGTTCTTAAAAATCAATCAAGTTCCCCCTAGCACAGAAAATCTAACAATCGGAAGGCATTGCACATCATTTCAAACAGCGTTTAAATAGTAAGGAAAGTACAAACCTACCAAGTCATAACAGAGATATTATACGGAAACAAAATATATTTCCTTCAACAGGATGCAAATATATTCGTGAAAACTATATCTTAAGAAAGATTGCATTCACAATATAGTCCTGACAACTGGAAAATTATTAAATTTGATAGATGTTTTAGGGGGAAACAGAAAAAAAAGCCAAAAATAACTAGTAACATTTGACAAAATATTTTTTTAAATGATAACAACACGAAAGGTATAATAGTGAAAGTCAGCCACTACTAAACAACATATATCACAATGATGATGATGATACGAATTGATAAGCATAGTTGAGATAGCGAATACAAGCGATGGATAGAATGATAACAACTAGTCAAAAATGTCAACATTCCATTTACAAAAAGATATGTATGTACATATATGTATATATATATATACATAAAGTTGAGAATAGATAAATTTTTACTTTAGAAACTGGAGAAAAGTGGTGTTTAAATATGTTAAATGGATTTTCTACTTAAGTGAGATAGGTAAGATACTAAAATAAGGCGGAAAAATGTAGAAGACGGGGTGAATAAGAATTGATTCAGCTACCCCATGTTTTCAATTTATGCTCATATATGACCATAAATGATCTTCATCTGAATCCGCTTAAACCAGCATCACGGTATGCGTGTCTAGTTTGGTTGGTGATAGCTGACAATGGAATCTTCAAGCCCGTTTCGTTTTATTCAGAACTCATCATCTGGATGACCTGCTGTTCAGTGAGTGATTGTGTCCCCAATGAGACTCAGAACTAACATTCGTCATTTCGAACAGCAAAGCGTTATCCAGAAGGCGACGAAAGCCCCCACTTGCACAACGGGGAAGTAAAAAAAAGATTTAGAGAAAGGATTATTTATGCATTACAGTTATGTACATGCAGGTGTTACTCACCTTTCTGAAGACTGTAACAAAGCCAGGATATTGACCACATTCTTGATTGAATACTTCTTCACTAGCATGCCAACGCATAACTAACTCTAATACTGCACACAGAAATCGACCATAGCGATGTGCTTCATCTTCAGTGCACATACTTGTCGGTAGGGTTATATCATTGAAGATCTATGTAATCAAAAATGAAATTGTAAAACATCGGAGAAATATGTTTTGAGTAATTATAGAAACAAAGCCACTGATCTTTTTCCATGAGCATTCCAAAATACAAAAGTAATACGTTAAAGAGTTTAGGGTTATTAGAACCAAACATCCCGTAGAACCATGAAGTCACAGACTACTGATCAGAATCACATAGAGTAGTATAGGTAATTTATTTTAGGGAGTCCACATATAAAAATCAGTAACTCGAAATCCTTTTTTTATTACCTTCACGTTCCCAGTGGAACATAGGGCTTCAAGCTAGTGGCTTGAAGTTTCTGTAGCAGTGCTTATTTTACAGGATGGGGTTGCTAGCCTCATGCCCAACCTTTCCTCTTCAGCAGCATTATTTCTAGCTTAGCGAGGTAAAGGAGTGCGTCGGCTGGGGATCGAGCCCCGGACCATGTGCATGGTCGGCGAGCGTCCTAACCACTATGCCACCGACGCACAACTCGAAATCCTTAGTGAAATAGATTAAATGGTGCAGATGCTCATTCTTTGGTGACCGCGTTCATCATTTTTTATCAACAGTTGTTTCTTATTCTCCCACTTAATATCATTTTCGAAGCATGATAGTTTGAAATGATACATTTCAGTACACATTTTTACTTTGATTCATCTATCAGCCAAAGAACATCAATCAAGCTGATGACTTTCAAACAGAATGAAACGTAAGTTGTGAAATTTACTGTTAACTACTACAAAATGTACAATAAACAGTTAAAAGAAATCAGAGTTCACGTAGAAACAGTAATGATAAAATGATTCATGAAAAGATTCAGTGTTTTGAGAATGATAAAGACAGAATAAATCAGTTTGAGATATTGTGAACAATTTTCATCAATGTCATCTACACATTCCCATCAGTTACTTTAAAAATCAAGAAGAACACATTTACATAAACTACACAAGCATACAAGAATCAAAGCGCTTGACACAGATTCCAGTGGATCATGGACCACGAATTGTTCTACTTGAGAATTGGTGACTCTGTTAGACATAAGATGCATAGCAACCACCTGAAATGCTAGCAGCTGAAGAGCGATGTACTCATTGCAGGTGTTATTTTACCATAATCTACCCTTTAATAGTTTCTTTCCCTGAAAGATTATTCTAGACGATTACTATGTTGAAATGTACACATCCATTATAATACACATTCGTCATAACACTTCACAAAGCGATACGTTATTAGAAATAATAATATAAAATCTAGTCGAAAATTAAAATCACTTAGGAAAACCGAGTGAATTCATACACTATTGAATATCGGATTACTAGCTAAAAGCTACAGAAGTCTATACCACTTGAAAAAATGAATAGACGAATGAATGAGTTGTCTGACAGTGTAACTTTAAAAACCGGTTTTCGTCACAATACCTCAAGACGGTTCTGTTTTATGATGCTGTAAGTCAACTGCTTGAAATAGATTTTTTTTCATGCTGGTTATCCTATGCAGTTGTCCAAGCTGAATTAAATGAAGTCAGGATTCGAAGCAGTGACCAAATGAATGAAAAACAACTGCTTAATCTCCATTCCCATCATTTATGAAGACGAATGATAATCCCTTATGAATATAAATTGAACAAACATTTACAAGTCAAATATCTATCATACTATAGCGAAAATTAAGATGTCTTAGAAAACACAACTTACTCTATCTAAACAGATTAACGTAGAAAATCGTGCAGTTTTTAATTGATGCAATACATGCATAAATTGTGCAGCATAGATAGCATCCGCAGCAGTGAAACACACTCTAGGATAAATACACAACTGTAAGAATTGTGTAATTGTATCAGTTTTTGTAGCCAATCTTGTTTGAAACCAATTGTCACGTTCAGTCATAAGCCAAGCACGTACACGAGTGACATGTTCTTCACGTTCTGATTGCTCAGCGTTCAATCGCTCAATTAAATTTTCTAAACGTTCTATTTCACGTTTCTTTTTTGCTGAATTCTAGTCACAAGAAAAAAATTGTATACAAACGAACACAGACAACTTTATTTAATGATGAATAGGAAGCATTTACAAAAGACAAAGTGGAAAAATAATGCACACAATATTATAGACATTAAGAGCACAGCTTCAGATTACTTGCTTAATATTATTGAACAGATTACTTTCAATATAACATAGGCACTGTAAGCACAGGAAGCTATGGGTTTTTGGATCATATAGGCATTATTGCTACAGAATTTACAAGTCAATTAATTCACTGAAGTCTCAAACACATCAATTTCTTTTCACTCAGAGGTAATATTACACAAACCGTTAAGGAAGCAAAAGAGCCTAATTATTTAGAGACAGGAATAATAAAGTCATTGACAACAGATTTATGATAAATGTTGTATCGCAGTACACAACTATGACACACGAAATTGATCAAAGATCACAAGCACGTCCGACAGTTATAGTGTCTAATTCCGCATGACTGATAACAGAAAAAGGTATCAAGTGATGCGAAAACGGCAAACTATTATGAAAGATATAATCACACTTTCACTTGAGTTTTCTGTATCTTTACCGATGACGTTTACTTTATATCATAATGATTTAGGCCATGACGCAAGTTCGACGAAACTGAACACATTGCTGCGTATACACAGCGAAATAGATGCTCTTTAATAAAAAAGGTAGGAATTATGACAAAGTCTTTTCGACCAAAATGAAAGAATAGAAAGAAGTCAAAGTGTTGATTGAACCTAAATTCGAATAATCACAGTGATATCCCATTAGGAATTGGAGATTTTGGTTATACCACACAAAACGATAAACACGTAAACACATTATCACATAAATGCACACCACAAATGGCGATTCCTCCTGCAACAGCAAGAGAAAAAAACATAACCAGACACAAAACTCACTGTGTTAGGCCCTTCCAATATCTAGATTACAAAACAGTGATATTGTATGTACACGTAAAGAAAACAAATAACAGCGGTGGAGCAGACAGTTTATTGCACTGAGTAGTTAAATGCATGTATTAATTATCCAAGGATTATAGTAGTACACTACATAGTTGCGTTTGCAGTCATATGACAGGACGCAAACTGTGTGCTGATAAGCAGCACAACAATCTAAGTAGTGAGTGAGTATATACACTGTAGACCTTAAGATACCAATTTGTATTACGCGTTTGATAAAAACATTAAGAGGAACCCCAACCATATTAAATTATTATTCCTAAAAAAGTCGGAGTATGATTGCATTTCATTGACCGTTATACACTACTTCCTCAACTACTTTGTTTCTAGAAATTTGAAATGATGATGGTATTGTGAAGTTGAAAGGCCTGCACATATGTAGACAGAACATCGACTTATTAATGAAGTATACTACTCAACAACTACTTGAATTTACAAGAAGATGCTGACGAACCAAACACATGGGTATGATAGCTGAAAACAAAGAATTGCTTCCTTTATCGAAAAGAAACAAATTAGAGAACGTTGCAAACTTTAGAAGCAGTGATTTAATAGCTATAAATCACACAACTCCAATTCATTTACTATGTAGTCTACACAAGACACACACACACAATTTGACGTTGTCTCAGCTTAAAACGATGTAAAATGTGGGTGGTATTTAACTCAGGAAGTAATTTATGTAAAGCATGTAGGTAAGAAAGCAATTTACTGAGTGAATGATTGCATAAAACAATAAAAACATATGGCAGGCTTATGTCGCTTTGATAGTAATCAAAAGCGTACAAAGAAACAACAAAGTGAAAGAAAAACACAATCACATAGAAAATTACCCAAGTACTTCCAGATGCATCAATCTGTTGAATTTGTTCTTTCAACTGTTGAATTTGCCGTTGATAAGCTGATTCAGGGACAACTAAGTCACTTGACTGTAAACTCCAGAATGTTACATAAAATACAATACCCAATTCATCCCATACACGCGGTGGATATAATGGACGAATGGCTGCGGCGATTTCATTACAGACATGTAAACAAGCAGCTGAGAAAAGTGTCTAAAATCAACAAGATAATGGAGAAATTTTAGTTTTTAACAACTGAATGAATTTCAGCATAGAACACTGATCTAAAGTGCAGTGGTTCAGGTTGCAACACTTCACGTTCAATTATTGATAGGATCCTCATACAGTATTCATGGTTTCAAAAAACGAGTAATTCCTAGTGAGACGATGATGAATCACTTGGCTGATAGTTAAAACTAGAAGGCATATTTCATCTTATTCGTCACTCGGGAGCTACACATACCCGCATCTTCAGTGAGCACTGATGTTCCCATTGAGTCTACTCTCCGAGCCTAATTCTTATCCACCAGGATTACTGGGCTGCTAGAACCATCTCATATGCAACTGATATCCATTTTTATTGTCTGGGTTTTGTCTTGTCTTTCTTGTTGACCTCACTCGTTTGACCCAACTGCTAGCCACCACATCCACAAATACTACAATGTTAACCTTCAGACGTCATCGGAGCATTTGAAGTGGGCACCGGCATGTTAGCGGTGACTGAACACTTCGGTCTGACATATATCGAACAAAGGAAAATACAAAATAACTGTATGAAAAGGTATTGAAATATTATCGCTCGCTATTTGACTGTGTTTAAAATGCACTCTCTTTGAAGACTATATATATATAAGCTACACATTTCCCCATCCGGTTAAAGTAGACTAAGTACAAATAACCAAGCAGGTGTTACAACAACTATTCAAAAGTTATTGTAACACTGATAGAAACAATTATTTTATTTAGTCAACATTATTTCTGTGGCATATATCCGATTATAAGAGTTAAGAAAAACTGGAATAATTACTGAATGGTGAGGCTGGTTGAAGGGTGACAAAAACCACAATAATTTACTGTCCCATTGATTGACATTAACTTGGAAAAAACAAAACAAAAGAATTTGAGATTTATTGTAACAAAATTCAATAGTCAACCGATATTACAGAGTCGCACAGGAGGAAGTGGGGAGCGGGAGTAGGGTGTTGGTTGGAGACGGAGACTAAGAGATATTAATGAATGAATTATAAATGCAAGAGGCATGACGTAACATTCCTTAATTAAACCAACATCTTTTCCTTACAAAATATACAAATAACTTATCAACAATAAACATAAATATGTGTATAATAATACAGTTAAACTGAGCGACGATATTTTATGCAGTAAAAACAAGAAGAGAAAAGTGAAGATGCTATGAAATGATTACTTAAAACAACCAGAGTATATATACATATATATATATATATACCGGCCGACAACTGCTACCCTGTCGTGGTGTTCAGGCAGTGACCCAACAAGCTAAACTGGCTGGAACTCATGTTCCTGCAGGTCCTATCATGTAAGTAAAATTGTTTTGATATCGGTTAGACGAAAAACAGTTACCACAGGGAATAGGGGCTCCAGAATCCAATCGGATCAAATGACGTACGAACCTGTATTGGTCACCGCCAACCATGGGAGCGTAGCTACTAACGCCGCTCCGCCGCCTTGCTGATTGAACTCCAAGTCAAAGGCTCAGGGGGGTGATCCCCTAAGACAACCACCTGCTTCAGTCTGGGCACCCGGCTAGTAATCTCAGCCCTCACACAATCAATGAAATGAAGCAACGAACTATCAGTAAAACTAATCGCGTGCTCTTAGCAATGCTGTCAAACAATAACGATGTTTTAAGTGACACATCTCTTTCCAACTTTTTTACTCTTGTTAGCCTTGACGTCTTCACCTTCGTCAGCCACTCGCCTTTGTCTGAATTCCCAGCCTATCTGTGCCGTTTCGAGATGTTAGTGAGCAGCCTTCAAAATGGTTGTCCCCAGCGTGACACAGATATTCGAAAACCGCGTCCCACATTCAAGTTGGCCACCTACAACGTTCGGACACTGATGCAAATCGGACAACAGGCAGGTTTGGCAAGAACATAGAAAAGTCTCACTGTAGATGTCTGCTGCATTTCGGAGACCCACATTCAAGATTCCAGTGAAGTACTTCGATTGTCCTCTCCATCTGAAAGTTCTAATAGTATATACCACCTGTGTTCGTCTGGAGACCCTGTGGCGTCGGCATCCGGCCTAGTTGATGTGTGAATCGCATTAAGCGCTAGAGCTAAAGCTGCATAATTCCACTGGATCCCTATTAACAGTCGTTAATGTGCTGTAAGGCTGGAAGGTTATACGAAAGTAAGAAGTGGTAGGCCAGACAGGCGGCGTTTATTTGTTGTCTTTGCCTATACAACTACGGATTGTAGCCCGGATGCAATTAAGGATAAGTTTTACTACCAACTGAGTGATCTCTTGAAACAGGCGCGTCGGAGGGATATCGTAGTGCTGGCTGGGGACTTGAATGCACAGGTTGGGCGTCCAAGCTCAGAGAAAAATCATCTAGGTGGTCAGTGGGGTTTACATGGTCGCAGGTCAGATAATGGCGACCATCTTCTGCAGCTTTGCGCAGATCGCAACCTGTCATTAGCCAGCACCAACTTCGGGCACAGCCATCGCGGTAGCGCCATCTGGCGTCCTCCCTATGGGAATCAAGCTTAGACTCAGATTGATCATATCGCTGCCAGTTTCCGGTGGCGAGGATGCATAGAAGACTGCCGCTTCTTCTGGAGCACATGCCTGGAATCCGATCATGCGTTAACGTGTGCCAGGTCCGTCTTGCGATTTAGTGAGGTTCATAAACGGCGTCATCTAAATATTGATGTGAGCCAACTAGTAACACTTGCTACTTCTTTGAAATACCAGAATGCTCCGCTAAAAACCATTGGATTTCTGCGAGTTCCTCGCAACTCCTGGATAAACGCCGGTCCATTCAGGCAGCCAGCGAATACATTAATATACCGAAAGCCGCTTACGCGCAAGATTAGACAGTGTCTACGTAAAAACCGCGAGGCCTGGTGGTCAGAACGTGAGTGTGCGATTGAGTCAGCTGCTGGATCTGGCAACAGTCGTTTCAGCTCATCCGAGCCACCGGCAGCAAGAAACAGATTGTCAGCGAGATAGTCTGTGGTGCAGACGGCACTCCAATCACCAGCCTGAAAAGATGTATGGAACGCTGGGCAAAGCACTTCGAGAAACAGTTTAGCTGGCCACCAGCTCCAGTATCCAATGTCAATAGCTCCAGTGCTCCTTGGTCAATTAGTACCGACCCACCAACCGAAGCGGAGGTCAGGAAAGAACTTCAAGTACTAAAACGACATAAGGCACCCAGCCCAAACAATCTACCCCCAGCTCTTTTTAAAGATGGTGGCGAGACTCTTGTAATGACTTTAACTGGAATACTGAGAGTGTACCATCAATGTGAAAGGAAGCCATTATCGTCCCCATCTTTAAAATGGGTCGACGTAACTCAGGTGACAACCATAAGGGTATGAATCTGCTACCAGTTGCGTCTGATATATTGGCTGCTGTCTTGCTTCGCAGGCTGTGCAAAACACGTGAGGGATTTGTTCGTGAAGAGCAGGCTTGGTTTCTTTGAGGCCGTGGATGCATTGATCAAATGTTGACCCTTCATCAGTTGTCGGAACACCGCCACACGTATTCCAGACCAACAGTCGTTGTGTTTCTTGATATTAGGGAAGTCTTCGATCCGTTGGATAGAACTGTGTTCATGAACTGTCTGTTAGAGAGAGGTGCACCTGAGAAGTTTGTGAACACCCTGAAAGGCCTATACAGAAACACCTCAGGTACAATAAGGACACACTAATCGTCATAGACGGCTAGTCTCTTGATATTTTCCATCTTCCCAGACATTGAGGAGGACAGAGTGGACTGCTACGAAGTACACATAGTCTTTTGTCAATAGCTATCTGGATATCACACATCTAGGCCTAAAGATGACGCAAGTTTACCAATATCTTTTGTATTTGTTTTCATACAGAGAAAAAAATATATCATGGTGGTCAACTATTCAGAGGAAGTGAAAAATTGTTTTTAAAAATAATCGAATTCCCTATACACAACCGCTTAACATGACATATGGTCATTAATGGAGATGTGACTAACTAGCTTAAAATTCGCCTTCCAGCTAATCAGTTGTACCAGGTTTCAATCACAACCCACCTACTTCATCCTGAGTGGGTAATACTATATATATAATTTGCAAAATTGACTGGATTACACTAACAAAATAATTTAAAAGTACTCAACTACCCGCTTCAATTCTATACAATTGCCAATGAGCCACAGTTATTGTGTGAAGATTAATGATGCTTACTACCTGGCATTCAATACTAACGATATATTAGGTGGAGTAGGGTTCGAACCCTTGAAACAGCGGTTGAAAGTCGAACACTTATACATCAATGAGACATAAGTGAATTAAAAAGAAAACGATACGTGTGTGAAGAACGAAAAGTTCCAAAAGTCAGAAGACTCTTCATAAGAAAAAAAACAAATAGTCTACACCAGTACAAAAGTATCCAGCAATAAAGTTATGTAGGTCGCTGTTAATTAACGACTCCATTTTATTACTACTTTTATTTTTATTATAGAAATCATGCGTACATTCAGCAAGTTTTCAAGAAGAAAAAAACGCTCCCGTTTCAGAACATTACAGGAATACTTTGAAAGAAAATTAATCAATACTAAAAACAGTCCTGATTTATTCAAGAAGGTTATTTTCAATTTTCGACGAGAGCCGTACTTACATATTCGTTCGTTTTGCTATTGTTATTTTCCTTAACAGTATCATGCACATCTGTGCTTAATACTGAGTCATGCTGATTACCAACAAATGATCTACGACGTCTACTCATTCACCACATAGAGGTTGAAGGCTTCCCAAAGTTCTAATGAGAAGTATGGATGAGTTGGGTTTACCCTGCCGAGTATGAGTACAGACATACACTAGTGACATTGAATAGTGACTACGGTATTATCATCCTTTGGAAGAAGTAAAGAAGTCACCAACTATCAATTGTCGACACAATGACTGTATGACAACGTTATTTTTTTCCTTGAACAGATAAATCAATTCGAAGTTAGCTATTTGATGGTAGCTAACATAAGAATCCAGGAGGGGCATTCCGTCTTGTTTGAGACTAGTCAATCGGTACCAATCGTTTCAAATGTCACAAGTTTATCCACGTGAGATCCTCCCTATGTACGACGCGTATGGCACATCCATCTGGAAAGATCCTAATTAAGACGAAATGCGCATTCTTGATAGTCTGTAGACAGCCACCATAGGACGAGTTATTGAACCTGGTAATATCAAGATATCTGTTTAAGGTGCTCATATACCGAAACAAGGTTTCATCAGTCCGGTCCTAACATTGTAACAGCAGAAGGCAAGACACGGAAGCCAACGTATATTTTTCATTGTCAAACCGCTGTTTATATATCTCTACAGTTTATATTCGTTAACCAATCACTGAACGTGTGATTTTGGTTTACATTAAACGACAGGGAATAGAATGTTTAAATATACATAGTATTCTGTTGCTATAGCCGTATTGAACTGTGGGAATATGTAAGAACAATATTTCGTTAGCACACATTGTCTGCATCACACCACTACAACATGACAACGGGGAATAACAAATATGAAAAATTAACCGAGTTTTTTCCTAAATGACGCTCTAGAAAGTATAAAAGTAAACCTCTACCCCGACGTTTACATGGAATAGTAGTGTAGACCAAAATCAGTCGCTTGGGTCATTACTTAACTTCAGTCACCGAAAAATACATAGTGATAGAATTCAGTCTCCACCCAAGAAAGGACTGGACACATTAAACTAGTTATTGACTAGTGTCCAATCAAAAATTAGAAAGTAAAGGTGATTAAATAAACAACTGAAAAGTCATACAACCTGCTCATTAGCAGTTGGTACATGCTTAGCACTTTAATTCTAGGTAATTGATAACAGCTACTCTACAATTAATGATTGAGTTAACAAGATCTATGAAAGTGATTTTCTTTTCAGACGATTTGGTAAGTTACCAGAAATCTGAACAGAATAAAACGATTATAGCATTTCCTTGTACTACAATGAAGTAGGGTAAAAGAATTAAGAAAACCCAACAGATTGCTTAGGCTAAATGAGAAAGTTGAAGCACTTTCCACAAATGACTATATTATTAGAACATTTTCAACATTTGACGTTATTCGAGCACACACAACCAAGTAATCCGGTACAATTACTTCCAGTGAACAAGTGAATATGCTACACACATATAGTTAGAAGGATGATGATATTACGTCACCAATTCCCTTCGGATGGAGTTGGTGGGGCAGTATTCGGATCCAGGAAAGACTAGTTAGTAGTGGGATGCATAAGACAGTGTAGCCACATTCTTAAAACATTTTCAATTAATTAAAATGGGTGATTAAAGTTGAAAACTATCGGTGACAAAGGAAAAATAACAGACTTCTCTTGACCAGTGGGGTACAGCAGGTTGACTGTGAGGATAAATACTCCCCGATGAAATTCGCTAATAGCCGGGCTATATCGCCAATTAGAAGAAGTTGGAATTCATGAACCAGTGGATCGGGTCCCAGTAGCTTAACAGTCCACGAGCTCACCTTGTAACCAGAAGATCCTGGGTTAGAACCTTGGTGGCGGATAGTTACCGATGAAGAGTCCCGAAATAGGGCGAAACAGCTGTCCATTACCCTTAGGCTTTCCAATGGTTCTCCAACCGATGTCAGTTCGTGATGAAATACTGAAACCAATCAAATACCAGCAAACCAACGCTTAGAAAACTCCTCTCGGTTACATTTCTTATTTTTCCTATAAACTTAAACATGGATCATTCAATAGCGAGATGTATGCAAACAACAAGATTTTAAGTTACGGATACAATTAAAAGGGAACA